CTGGTTGAACCGTGACCGAAGACACGAATCAATGGTCCCTCTGACCGTGGGCCATAGCCAGCGAGTCGGATGAAGCGTCGGGTGCAGCGCACTGGGCAGCAGGGGTCCGCCGTTGCTGCAATGGGTATCCAAGTGCCGTGACCAGCTTGATCGGTCTTGGAGTGTGGTATGAGAATCCACATGACCTCGTCGTCGAATTGGATGTCTTGCCATTTTATGGCTACTAGGTCAGAGTATCGCAGGAGTCCGGAGTACATGAGGATGGGTATCAACCCTTTCTGAAATTGCGCAGGATCGTCGGACTGCAAGTAGCTCGCGGCCATTTCCTGGACTTGTTGGATCGAGACGGGTTCCTTCAGACGAGTAGGGCGTGGGCAGTGTCGCTTTGCATAGTCACGAACTTGGGTGGTGAACGGTCCGGTTGTCGGGCATTTGCTCCCTGTCATGCGATGGGCGAAGCTGACCGCCGAGCAGGTTAGCTGCACTACGGACAGGGTGGCTTTGCGTCGGATTGCGTGTACCAGGTATAGCGCGAGGGTCATGTCGGATGCCGGGAGGAATGGAAGGTTCACTTTTGTGCAGAAGGCTCGAAACTTGGCCCAGTATGGTTCATATGTCCGGATCGTAGAATCGGCGCGGGACTGCGCGAGCATGTTGATCAGTTGGTCGTGTAACTTTGGGAGCAAATCTGAACACAAGGTGTATATATTTTGAATTAGTCAAATGCCACTCGCAGTGCAATGATTGGGCTGTGCGGTAGTCCCATGCCCGAAAAAGCAGTTGAATGGGACCCTATGTCTAGGCATTGGCTTCCGTGTGTCAGAGGGATGTGCGCGTGGATGTGTGGTGCCCAAGTGCGTGGGGAGGGTTGCAAGAGTGGCCACCAGCTTGCGCCTGGCCAGTGCGGAACTATCAGTGTGAGTGATGCATGGGTGCGTTGTGCATGATGGAGGACGGCTGGGACCAGTTGAGGTGGGGGGAAGGCGAAGTTGTTTTCAGGTGTCCACGCGATCGAGAACGCATCAACTGCAATGGCTGACGGGTGGGGAATCTTTGAACAGAAGCGCGGCAGTTGGGTGTTGCGGGAGTTTGCGAAAAGGTCGATGGAGTGAGGACCCCAACGACGTTCCAAGATCCGGAACCACGGCGTTTTCAGCGCGTAATCGTCGTGGTCGACCATTTTTGAAAGCTCGTCGGCGTGTGTGTTGAGCTCGCGCGGAATCCATTCAATGATCAAGCGCGTGCCAAGCGCCATGCATGTTCGGATGATGCTCTTGCATGCCGTTGTGAGGTCGGGGCTGTGAGAGCCGCCTTTGCGAAGGATGAAGAATACGCCCTGGTTGTCCACCCGCACGAGAACGTGTTTTTGCTTGATCTTGTTCGCGTACGTTTGTAGCGCCCAAAGGACGCCTTCGATCTCCCGTCGCGTACTGGACGTTCCTCGTAGCGGCTCTGACATGGTTGCGCTAGCTTCTTCGATGCCACCCAGAAATGTGGTCAGAGTGGCGCCCCAACCATGAGAGCTGGCATCCACGTGGATTACCGCGTCGTAGCTGTTCTTGACGTGAAAAGGTGCGCCGTTGAAACGGTCGAACTCCTCGAGCCAAAATTGGAGCTCTTCTGCTGCAGATGGGGGGATAACGACGCTGCTTTTCCATGACGGTGCGTCGTCGATCACTTGTAACATAGCATGGCTGAATGCGCGAGCTGTCGCGCCAAGTGCAACACCCATCGATGCGAGCATGCCAGTGATTCTGGCCACGTGGCGGACCGGGACTGGTCGGCATGCCTTGCTTGCGCTCAGGAGGTTCCGGATGGTTGCATGTAGTGAGGCTCGTCGGTCCGGACCGATGGAGAATCGGCCGGTATCGGTCTCGAGTTCTACGCCCAGGAATCGGAGACGCTGCGATGGTGACAGTTGTGATTTCTTCGCGTTTATCACAAGGCCTGCCTCTTTAAGATCCAATATCACCCGCTGGCAAGTTGCTTGCGCGTCATCTTTCGACTGGCAGAGAAATAAGATGTCGTCCACGTAAGGTACGACTCGGATGCCTTGTTCTCGCCAACGCCGAGCTAGTTGCTTGATGAGCTGCGTGAAAACGAATGGAGCTGACGCGAGGCCAAATGGTAGTGAACGGAATGCGTATGTGCGCTTATCAAATTCAAAGCCAAGGAACTTCCAGCACGATGGGTGGATGTCGATGTGGTGGTAACCGGATTTGAGGTCAATGGAGAACATCCAGTCCCCAACGCGCGCAAGGTCGGCGACGCGGCTGAGCCCTTCGTACTTGAACTTGGGGATGATCAAGTTGGCGTTGACTTTCCTCAGATCAAGAATGAGCCTGCATTTGTCTTTTTGCTCGACCACGTTGAGTGGACTTATGCATGTAAGCTCCGATGCGGCCATCGGAATTGCCGCTCCCGTCTCTATGAGTTCTTGGATGGCGGTACGTGTGAACGTGGCATGCGTGTTTGCCCCGACATGATTGCGATCGTGGAAATGTTGCGGTGGGCCGTGGCTCCATGGCAACCAGTAACCCTTGGCGATGACGGAGAGGACAAGGCTGCTGGGGCACCATGAGCTCCACCACGCAAATGTCGCGCGAAGACGACCGCGCATGTGTGTAATAGTTCTGTCTGTAACGGCAAATTCGTACGGATCGTCGTGGCATGCCGCCTCGCACCGTCGTGCTCCTGTACATTTGAGGCCAAGTGGTATAAGCTTTGAGTATTCCACGTTAAAGCATGCATGTGCATGTACTTGTACAGGCAACCATTGATCGAAGGTGTGAAGAGAATTAACAATTGAATGAAATGTCAACGAATGTGTCGGGAATGTTAACGCATGTCAACGCATGTCTCTTCTTCTCCTCGTTTCCCTTTTTTTTTTTTTTTTTTTTTCACTTGCCCCGTCGTCCACTTGGTAGGACATGGTTGTGCCTGCCCTTAGTGCGTAGGGGCTGATGCCTAGGGCCATGGACACTGTTGTTCATTGTGCTTTCTCTCATTCTCTCTTATCTCTCTCTCTCTCTCTCCCTCTCTCTCTCTCTCTCTCTTTCTCTCTCTCTCTCTCTCTCTCTCCCCCCCCTCTCTCTCTCTCTCTCTCTCTCTCTCTCTCTCTCTCTGCTCCTCCTCTTGATTTTCATAGTCTCTTTGCCAAAACCATAGGCCTTTAGGAAGGTAGTTTTTATTAAATCAACCAACACACATAGCAATGCTTTCCTAGCATGCATCATGCCACCAAGTGGCCAAACATATGGGACCGAGGGGTTGTTGTTCCCCTTCCCTATCCTAGGCCCAAGCCTATCCCACCCTTTACTAGGGCTGGCCTCTTGCCATCGCAAACCCCTAGGGTTGCCCACGGTTTTCGCACTCAAGAGTGCACCGTGCCTAGCGCCCAAGCGCCTAGTCTCATGGCCCGCTCCTACACCACCGGAGCGGGTCCCTGGCCTCCATGCCCGTTCCGAGGGCAGGCACTTGCCACGTGGCCCGGCTGGCCGCAGCGGAAGCATGAGCCCCGGAACCCACGGCAATTGGCCGTGGGCGGGGGGCCTCGCTTGGGTAAGAACGGCATCGGCCCGTTGTTTCCGCCGCGGTTGACACGAGCGTATCCGTTTGCCGCACGGTCCATCGCCGCCATGTCCGCGACCGCCTGCTTGAAGGGTCGAGAAGTCAGCGGGCTCTTCTGCTGGTACAGCTTAAAGCGCTTCGCCGTGCGAAAGTCGGAGGCGTCCTCCACTTGAAGCACCTCGAAACGCCCCGCGATGAGGTTGAGAGCGTGTGAGATGAGTTCGAGTCCGCCCGCCGGATCACCGCGCTGCGCCTTGTATTCGGCGTGCAGCAGGTACGCCCGCAGGTCCTCCAGTAGCTCCGCTTGCTCTCGCACGGAGTCGTTGACGAAGGTTGCCGCCGAGAAGGTAAGATTAGAAGAAGGGAGGGGGGGAAGGTTTTCCGTGCCAATAAAATTAACATTGTTGACTGGAGCCTCACCGGCTTCATCTTCAGAGTCGTCGGTGTCGTTGTCGACCGCTGGAGCAGGGGGAGCGGCAGTCGCTGCGTCGTTGTCATGCCGGTTCGTCCGTGCTCCCCGTGTGCCTTTCTCCTTTTTTGCAGTTTCTTTTTTAGCCGACGCAGATGCGGCGGGTAGTGCAGTTTCCGCGGCTGTAACGCTGACGGGTTGCTGCTGTAGAAGGGACAGCAGCGCGTTGACCTGGTCCGGGGTCAACGCCTGCGTCAGCGCAGGGGCGGCGGTCGCGTCAGACGAGGAGACTGCAGTCCGCCTCCTCTGACGCTGACGCGACGGTCCAGCAGCGGGTGCTGGCGTGTGCTCGGCGTCAGTCGCGTGTGCCGCGCCAGTCCCCGTCGCCACTTGCGCCACAGGTGCCACTGGCGCCACAGGGACCGAAGGGTGCTGCTGGGTTTCGGCGTTTTTGTGGACCTCGAGCCCGCCCAGCAGCACGTCCACTGCAGTCGGGGCGGAAGGTCCGTCTTCTGCCCGACGCTTGTTACGGCGTTCGCCCGCAGAATCGCGGGCGTTACGGTCGGAGTCGGAAGCGGGGGTTGACGAGTTCCCGTGGTTAAGTGTCGGCGTAGGTGCCATCGTTGAGCGATTGAAGTTGAAAATGTCGCTGAGTAAAGTAGAGGGTGACTCGCCTCTAGGAAGCGATTTAATCCTAGCCAGCTTGGAGGGAAAAACTACTCGAGCGGAAAATGTTGAGTGAGCCGTTTGAAAATTGAGAAACGTGGGTGGAGGGAAATGAGCTCCAACCCACAGTTTTTGTAGTTGGAGAAGGGCGTTTAGCGCGCTTCGACGATGCCAATTGTGCAGTACAAGCAGCTTCGCTTTCACAATACACAATTTTAAAAAACACTACATGTGTGTTTAAAAATTATAATAATTCTGCAATTACTGTTTTGTTGTTCTTTAGGTGATGCAACAATTGCCTGTAGGTGATACATTTCCCCATACCTTCCAGCAAAGAAGCACACTTGTCATCTACCTATGACTTCCTAGGCTTTTCCAATACACAGTTCAAGTAGACATGGGTCTTGCTTTTCTTCGAATCATCCACAGGCGCAAGATCCCAGTACAGCTGCTTATACTTGAACATATTAATCACCACTGTATACTGCTTCATCTTGCTTGTAGGTGCGGTCAGCAGCTCTAACCAGATAATGCCGCCTGGCCGAAGAATCCGGTGCCATTCAAACATCAGCTCCTCCAATTCTGAAACCGAAAAGTAACGGACGCTTTGAGCTGAGTGTATTATATCGAGTGTGTTGTCGAAAAACGGTTGCCGGGCTTTAGTGGGGACGTGAAGTGGCACCAACCCCCTTAGAGCAATAGTCTCCATGTAAGGCAGCCCCCCATCTACACCTTCAATGAATTCCTTATTCATCGAAGTTGTAAGGATGGTTACGTTGTAACGGGCCATGTGAGCTGCGAAGCTCCCCGAACCTCCACCCACATCCAGGCCGATCCGAAGCGAACCCGGAGGCTTGAGCTGCCAGACCTGCGCCATAGGTATGGTGCCCAGGTACGGCACCTGCCACCGCTTCACCTCCAAACTCATGTTGAAACAGTTCCTGCACTCCCCTTTCTCCCTTGAATTCACACACGCGTACGACTTACACTCGTGCAATCCCCACCGCACATTCTCGTCTCGCAGCATCTCCTGACTGAAAAGAGAATCCGGAGGGCCAAGGTGGGGTTCGGTGTAATGTGGTGGAGTTGCCGCGAAGCAGAGGCGGCGGGGCAGGCAGAAGCAATTCTTTTCAAACATGAGCCGTTGAGCCAGTAACCAGTCATCTGGACACGCCTGTCTGGCAGTGTAGTTCATGTACAGTTGTAACTCCTCATCCGATCCGTTACACGTCCGAAACGACATTAGTTTCTTCTCATTTGGAGACAAATCCTTCCCCGTTTCTCCTCCCCCTCCCCCTCCTTCTCTGCCGGCTCCCCCAGCTCCCCCGGTTACTATCTGCATTTCCGCTTCCGTCTGCTTTTTAGCAGCATCCGCGCATTCCGAAGCTAGGTCCCGAGCCGCGCCCTCCACCATGGTCAGATTGACCAGCGGCCCGCACGTGCCATTGTGGGACAGCCGCGCAAGCTCAGCCGTCAGATTGCGCTTGTCGATCATCATTGCGTCGTACGCCGTCCGTAGATCCGCCAGCTTCCGCTGGAGCTCCGCCACCGCAGGGGAGACTGGCGGAATGGCACTGGAACCCCCTTCCGCCGATTCCCCCGCTCCCCCTGCGCCACCCGCAGGCGTTACCGACCCTCCCGCGGATGGCTCGGAAACGGAAGCGGAAGCGGAACCACCTTCCGCGGAAGGGTTACTGGAGAGTAAGGAGCGCCGTTCAAGCTTCTGCCTCTTACAGTGAGATAGCTGCTGCTCGCATATAGCCGTCGCGTCCACCCCTACATCTGCTGCTGTCTTCAGATCCGTCGCCGTTAAGTGCGCTCCGGTCGGAAGCCCTCCGCCGCTCGATAGAACCCTGATGTCCTGTCTCAGCCGTTGGATCTCCTTCTCCAGATCTTGCATCTCCGTGCTTTCCGCCTCGCGGCCCGCTACCTGCACTTTAAGTTGCTCTATAATCTCATGAGGGGCCTCCTTGCGGTTCGCGTTGGCGGGAGAAGAATTGGAGTGGTAAGCAATTGGGTGGCTGGCTGTCTCGCGGGCGAGTTCTCTAACGAAGACGAATATAACAAGGATGATGACGATGCCTAAACTGGCCTGGAGGATCTTTTTGACGTTCATGCCGAAAAATGCGGGAACGAATCGCGTAGCTTTTCGAACCTTTGCGAAGGAACTATTAGGGTTACCCAGCGAATGGCGACTATCTGCTTGCTATCCCATCGGACACTGTGCTGGGGAAGTGTAACAACTATCCCAATACTGCTGCACTATAATCTCATTAAAGAACTTCCTAATAACCGAGATACCGTGCTTTAGTTGAGAAAGGTCCAGGAAGCAATAACACCAAGAGCTGCTGGCCGGCAGAAGTGGGAGGTCTGGCCAGGAGTTCAGGAGAATTAGGAGGAAAGTGACTAACAACTATGGCAGGTAATGCCTATGGGAGGGGGCAGTTGGGTCGCCCCGTAATGGAAAGAGTCTCCGTTACAACGTGAGCTTCACATCAGTAAGAAGCGCGGTTTTATATCGTTTGTCAAAAACATTTCTAATTGGAATTACCGAAGTATTTGTCACAGATGCACTTGGATGATCTTGTTCAAAACGCTCCAGTAAGCGCGACACACCATCCCCTGAAACTGAACCTCGAATCATCTCAAAAACGGACGGACGACAAGCCAAGGTCTACGAATCAAAGCACCAGACCAGACCCTTCCACCACAATCACACGCTGCCAGCCAAGCAGGTAATCAAGTATTCCAGGGAGACAGCGTTAGGAACACTCGCTGCTGACGTTTTCGGCGACTATTTCCCAAGTAGTCTCAGCGTGCCCAGATATGGCGGAATATGAGTTGGTTACGCCTCCCCCACCTACTCGATGTCGTGTAGTCATCGATCCGTCGCTCTTAACGCGTACGCAGCTTTCCCAGGGGCTCAGCCACAGCCTGATCGCGCTGCCACGTGGCATTACCACCGTCAGCCAGCTGGCAGCCCACGTGATCGACTCGTTCGGTCTGCAGGATTCGTGCATAGCGGGAGTGGCTCTACAGGTGCGATACACCGCCTTTTGTTTAATCGAGGCGCCTTAAAGCGAAGAATACGAGAGTGATTCGTCTGTTGTGCGTGCATTTAGAGCCTTTTGCTAGAGCCTATTACAGAAGAAAACGAGTTGTTCTTTACTGAATGCTTAATGTGAAGGTAAGAATAAGGAGGTATTAGCCATTTCGAAGCGAGTTTGCTTAGCAGGGGTGCCACGATACCTAACTGTCACTTGAATATTAGGTTGGTTCTCCTTTCACCAGCTCTACTGCCACGTGGATCATTCCCTACTGTGCCACGCGTGTCACCCTCCTGCTGCCCCATCCTGACAGGTGGACGGATTTGTGCTGCCAGCGTGGCAGCCCCTTTCTGTGTTGGGCCACGATGACGTCATCAGGTGAGACGTTGGTAACTTCTGATGCCCTTTTCACGCTTAAACCCTGTAGCTCGGTAGAACCCTGGGCTGCCAAAAAAAGAGGGATCAGATTTTTCTTTCTTTCTGCCCCTTTTCCCCCTGTTGTCTCGCCAGGGTTTGCCAAATTGACCACAAAAAGCCACTTACACCACACACCAACTCCACTCCTCAGCACCGTAACCCACCGCTTTCGCAACACCCAGCCTATGCTTCTCCTCAGTCGCACGCCCTTCCCCGTGTGGGCGACCCTTCCCCAGGTCCCACCTCCCCGTTCCCCGCCCTGGGGTGGGTGGTACCTGGGGAGGGTAAGGAAGGGCGGAGTGAGGGGGATATCAGTGGGAAGGGGAATAAGAGTGGTAAGAAGCGAAAGGAGGGAAGGAGGGATGAGGAGGGAGGGAGGGTTGTCTTAGAGAGGGGGGTGGAGAAGAAAAATAAGAGAAGGGGAGTGAGGGAGAGGTTGGAAGGAAGATTGGGTGGAGAGAAAGGAGGGGGTGGGAGAGAGAGTGGGAATAATGAGAGAGATGGAGGTAATAAAATGTGTGGGGGCAAGGAGGAGGGAAGAGGCGTGATAGGGGATGGGGGAGAGGAGGCCAGGAGTGGGGAAGGAGGGAAGCTTCCGAGAAACGTGGCAGAAGATGGTGTTGGGGGAGTTGATGAGGGGGAGACGGGGGATGGGGAGGAGGAAGAGGAGGAGGCAGAGGAAGAGGAGGAGGCAGAGGAGGAAGAGGAGGAGGCAGAGGAAGAGGAGGAGGCAGAGGAGGAAGAGGAGGAGGCAGAGGAAGAGGAGGAGGCAGAGGAGGAAGAGGAGGTGGTGGAGGGGGGAGACTCTGGGGGTGAGAAGGAAGAAGGTTCTTCTGAGTCTTCTGAGGAGGAAGAGGAGGAGTGTCCTGACTCGAGTGAGGAGGAGGAGGAGGAGGAGGAGGAGGAGGAGGAGGAGGAGGAGGAGGAGGAGGAGGAGGAGGAGGAGGAGGAGGAGGAGGAGGAGGAGGAGGAGGAGGAGGAGGAGGGATCAAGTGAGGAGGAAGGGGAGTGTAGTGAGGAGGAAGAAGAGGCCGGTTCGAAAGAGGGGAAGGGGAAAGGGGAGGGTAAGGGAGAGGAGAAGGAAAAAGGGAGAGGAACAAAGAAATCAGAGGTGAAGAAAGGAGGGGCGAAAAGGCATGCAAAAAGGCATGATGGAGAAGGAGGGCGTGAGGGTGGCGCAAGGTTGAAAGACGCTGTTGCAGGGGCGGCAGGAGCACCCCATGCTGCTGCTTTGAATGTTAGAAAGGTGCGTTCAAAGGGAGTGTGCCGGGAATGTTCGGGTAGTGTCTTGGAATTGTGCCGGGAGTGTGCCGGGAGTGTGCCGGGAGTGTGCCGGGAGTGTGCTGGGAGAAACGTACTACCCTACTGACCCATGTTTCAGGGCGCCTCAGCACCACACACACAGCACACCACCGTGTGTCACCTCACCCCACCACCATGCATCACCTCCGTCTCTCCACCTACCCCTCCTCACTTCACTTCCCCAGGGCCCTTCACGCAACACGATCCGGAAGAGGGCAATGGGGAGATGGCTGGCGATGCAGCAACAGGTTGCTAAGGCAAGAAGCAAAGTGGTGCCTTTTATTCTTTGTCCCCATCCGTCCCTTCCCACCCTCTTCCGTCTCTCTTCCCCAGGGCCCTTCACGCAACACGATCCGGAAGAGGGCGAAGAGAAGATGGCTGGCGAAGCAGCGGCAGGCTGCAAAGGTATGCTTGTGCCACTCTTGAGAATTCTCACGAGAGAAACAGGCTGCAAAGGTATGCTTGTGCCACTCTTGAGAATTCTCAAGAGAGAAACAGGCTGCAAAGGTATGCTTGTGCCACTCTTGAGAATTCTCAAGAGAGAAACAGGCTGCAAATGTATGCTTGTGCCACTCTTGAGAATTCTCAAGAGAGAAACAGGCTGCAAAGGTATGCTTGTGCCACTCTTGAGAATTCTCAAGAGAGAAACAGGCTGCAAAGGTATGCTTGTGCCACTCTTGAGAAATCTCAAGAGAGAAACAGGCTGCAAAGGTATGCTTGTGCCACTCTTGAGAATTCTCAAGAGAGAAACAGGCTGCAAAGGTATGCTTGTGCCACTCTTGAGAATTCTCAAGAGAGAAACAGGCTGCAAAGGTATGCTTGTGCCACTCTTGAGAATTCTCAAGAGAGAAACAGGCTGCAAAGGTATGCTTGTGCCACTTTTGAGAATTCTCAAGAGAGAAACAGGCTGCAAAGGTATGCTTGTGCCACTCTTGAGAACTCTCAAGAGAGAAACAGGCTGCAAAGGTATGCTTGTGCCACTCTTGAGAGTTCTCAAGAGAGAAACAGGCTGCAAAGGTATGCTTGTGCCACTCTTGAGAATTCTCAAGAGAGAAACAGGCTGCAAAGGTATGCTTGTGCCGCTCTTGAGAATTCTCAAGAGAGAAACAGGCTGCAAAGGTATGCTTGTGCCACTTTTGAGAATTCTCAAGAGAGAAACAGGCTGCAAAGGTATGCTTGTGTCACTTTTGAGAATTCTCAAGAGAGAAACAGGCTGCAAGGTACCGAGTGTGCCGCTGTGATGGATGGCGTATATTGTTAGCACTTCTTACAGAATAAGCACTCGAGAACAAGTTGGCCAAGGTTGACTTGTGTGGGTGGGTGGGTGGCTCGGAGGGAGTGGTTTATGCGTTTTTCTCGGTCTCAAGATCGCACCGTTTTTGCTGTGCGAGAAAGTTATGGATGGAACAGCATGTAGCTGGTTCGTACGAATTGTTACTACTTAAAACTGCTCTGTACCGACCTGCACTCACCCCTTTTCCCACAGGACGCTCTGTACATGCAGCTGATGTCAGGAGGCGGCCCGGCTACAGTGACAGGCACGGGGACAGGCACGGGTGCAGCAGCAGCAGGAGCAGATGGAGCAACAGCAACAGCTGCTACCGTAGGCGCAGCAGCAGAGGCGGCGGCAGCATTGGGACCAGGGACAGGGGAGCAGCAAGGGTCCCTACCGAATTCGCTTGCAAGCATAGGCGGAATGGCAGTGGCAGAGGAGGCAGTGGCAGTGGGAGCAGGGAGAGGGGAGCAGCAAGGGGATGGGAAGGAGAGTTGGTTGGGTGGGATGCAAAAAGTTGAAGTGAAGAAAGGACATGTAAAGTTCAGGACGGGGGATGGGGAAGAAGAGGAGGAACAAGTTACAAACTTGCGGCCATTGGTGAGTCAAAGTGGAAATGGTATTTGGTATCCTGGGTTGACTGTTGAGAATCCTTGAAGGGTTTGGTTACCAATACGGTAAGAGTACAGCCTAAAACGATTTCAGGTGGGGGCGTGTGGGTGGTGCTTCAATTGAATGAAGATGGTGTGTTGTGTCAGTCAGTGACCAGTGGTGTTGTATCAAGATGGTATTAGCTGACTTCTCTCCCCACGTTCACTCCCTCCCTCCCCCAACCCATTATCAATATGGATGGGCACAGTCAAGAACAAGAGGCGGGGGCAGGCGTGGGGGCAGCAATAGCCCCCTCTCCTTCCCCCGTTCCAACTCCCTCCTCCCCATGCCTTCTGCCTTCCCCATGCCCTCTGCCCTGCCCATGCCCTCTGCCTTTTCCATACCCTCCACCAGCCCATAATCAACATGGGCACAGTCAAGAACAAGCGGCAGGGGCAGGCGTGGGGGCAGCATCAGAAACCCCCTCTCCTTCCCTCATATCAACTCCCTCCTCCCCCCTCCGCTACATACCCTCCCCCTCCACCAGCCGGTTATCAACATGGGTACAGTCAAGAACAAGCGACGGGGGCAGGCATGGGGGCAGCAGCAGCAGCAGCAGCAGAGTCTGGAAGGGCGGTTGTTTCGAGGGAAAGGGGGAGGACGGAGAGAGGGGGAGTTTGAGTCGACTGAAAACCAACAGCAGCCGTGTGGTCCATACAAGGGGTATAATGGGGATACAAGGGGAGGGAGATGGGGAGGGGGAGAAGAAGGAAGGAGTGACAGTGAGAGAGCGGACAGAGGGAGATGGGACTGGGGGACGAGTGAGAGTGTGGGAGGAGGTAGGGGAAGGGGGAGGGGGAGGGGAAGAAGGACGGACAGAGGAGGAGGGAGAGAAAGGTGGAGTGAGGGAGCGGAGAGAGGAGAGCAGTATTGGCAGCAGCAGAAGATGGAAGGGACGAGGGAAGGGGATGTGCAGCAGGAGGAGGAGCAACAGCAAGAGAGCCAGAGCAAGCTCGAAGCATTGCCACTGTTGGCGGGCGCACCTCTGGTGAGTCATTTTGCAGAGGCTGAATCAATCAAAACGCAGCAGCAACAGAAGCAGCAGGAACAGTGCCAGAGCAACCTTGAACCATTACCTCCAATTTAGCATTTTAGTGACGGCTACACCAATGAATTGCGTGAAAAAAAGATCAACAAGCGTATGAGATTGTTGAAGTTTCAGGGACATTTACGGTCTGAGCTCCTGTCATATTCACATGGAATTGATCTTCGAGTTGACTAAAAAAAGTGTGTGTTAACGTCAGCTCTGATCCTCGCCCCTTCCACTCCCTTTCTCTCCCTCTCCCTCTCCCTCTCCTTCTCTTCCCAAGTCAGCCTGGTGATATACTCGCATATCGCATCATCGCTCTCTCACCTCTCACCTGGACGCCTGAGCCCTCATCATTGCGGGTAAGCCTCTCGTTCCTTCCCTTTTGAGTATGCTGCCTCCGTTTAACTTAGCTCCGCACCATCACACAACCTCATTCTCTTCCCATCATTCCCCCTCTGACTTACACTCCCTAATGACTGCTCTCCCCTCCATGCCTCCTTCTCCCCACTCCCAACCACGCATCCACCGACACACCCACCCTTTTCCCCTCTCCCTCTAACAGCAAGGCCTAGTGGTTAATTTCGACTCCTCCTCGTCTCTCATACACCTGGCACCTGTGGGCTCTGTAACCGCACCTGGCGGGCTCTCATTGGCTGAGGCTGGTGGCACAGCTGGCGGGGGTCTCCCATTGGCTGAGGGCGAGGGAGGTGAAGATGAGGTGGGGATTGAACCGCCCTACGATGAGATGGGTCATCTGGAGGTGAGAAAGAGAGTGTGTGAGAGTGTGGGTGTGTGTGTGTATGTGAGTGTGTGTATGTGAGTGTGTGTGTGTTTGTGTGAGTGTGCTTATCTAGTCATGACCAATGGAGGGAAGTGATGCTGAGACGGGTCATTTGAAGGTGAGACTGTGTCTTTCTGTGTGTGTGTGTGTGTGTGTGTGTGTGTGTGTGTGTGTGTGTGTGTGTGTGTGTGTGTGTGTGTGTGTGGGTATATGCATGTACTGACATATCCGCATGTGTGGTTTCAGTCAACTCAGCATCACTCTCAACCCCTCACATATTTCCTCATAAGGGATGATTATGCTTCCTCTTTTCCCACCCCTTTTTAGATTGAACTCTTCGCTCTTCTTGACATTCCCCTTGTGTCTTCCCCTTGTGTCTCGAGTTGTATCCCCTTGTTGACGACTCAAAACACACCTGATACGAGTTTTGAGGCGCTTCTCCTCCCCTTCCCAGATTGAACTCTCCTCGATTCTTGACATCCGCCTTGTGTCTCGAGCTGATGGTAGTGGTGGTGATGGTGGTGGTGGTGGTGCTGCTGCTGCTGCTGCTGCTGCTGCTGCTGCTGCTGATGGCACTGCTGCGGCCGCTGCTGCTGTCCCTGCAGTTGCTAGTGCCGCTACTGCTTCTGCTGCTCCTGCTGCTGCTCCTGCAACGGCAACTGCTGCTACTGCCACCACTACCACCCCTGCTCCTGCTCCTGCTGCTGAAGCCACTGCCGCACCACCAGCACCTCTTCCTACCGCTGCTCCTGCCACTGCTGTTCCACCCTCTCCTGCTGCTGCTTGTGGAGTGGCGCCCCACAAGTGGGAGCAGTGGGCGAGCGTGGCGAGATTGCTGGAGCAGAAAAGGCGAGCGCTCATGGGTGGGACAGCAGGGGATGATCGTGAAAGCTCTCAGAATGATATGGAGATCGACAAGCGGTCGCAGCAACATATGAAACAGCCAGGCCAGCAGCAGCAGGAGCAGGAGCAGCAGCAGCAGCAGGAGAAGCAGCAGGAGAAGCAACAGGAGCAGCAGCAGGAGCAGCAGCAGGGAGAGCAGCAGCAGCAGCAGGACGGTGTGGGTTCAATTGGGATTGCAGCAACTGAGTGTGTAAGCAACGACACTCCTCGCACCCCTGTGCCACCTGTAACCAGGTCTCCTCCGCTTGTAACCAGCCCTGCTCCAGGTGTAACTACCCCTGCTCCAGATGTAACCAGACCTGCCCTAGATGTATCCACCCCTGCTGCAGGTGTTACAGGCACAGCAGCAGCAGCAGCAGCAGAAGATGCACCTGGCTCTGCCCCTGTAGGAGGGGCCAAAGGTGGAGGCATGGCAACTCTTGAGGCGCCTCAAAGGTCAGATGCACCTGACTCTGCCCCTGTAGGAGGGGCCAAAGGTGGAGGCAGGGCAACGGGTGTGAGTGGTAGCGGAGGCAAGACCATCAGGTACAGAGGGAGGAAGGCAGCTGGGCTGGCAGCAACTCTCGCTCTGATGAGGCAGGGAGGGGGCACGTGAGGAGGGATGGTCTAGGTCTGTCAAACCCGCTTCTGTGGTGGGAGGGAGGGGAGGTGGAGGCAGGGCAACGGGTGTGAGTGGTTGTGGGGGCACGACGATCAGGTACGGAGGGAGGAAGGCAGCTGGGTTGGCAGCGACACTCGCTCTGATGAGGCAGGGAGTGGGGGCGTGAGGAGGAGTATGATGACCGGTACTAGATGACTGGGAAAGGGTGGTGAAGAGAGGGTGGTTGCTTAGCATAGCAGCAATTGGTTGGTTGTTATGCATCCTCCTTGCTCCTGCCAGCGCTGCTGCTGCGGCTGCAGCTTCTGCAGTTGCTGCTGTGATTGGGGAAGTGGCGGAGGAAGGAGATGGGGCAGATGATGATGCAGATGATTGGAGGACGATGGTTGATTAGTGCATGTTAGGTATCGTTGATGATTGAATGAGCCCATGCTGGGTCTTATCATAAGCTCATGCATATTACTTGTGTTTTGGAAGCTAGACATGTGAGCAATATGTGCCCAGTTTTTAACATTAAAAAGAAATACGCGGAATGGACATCACAACCGTCACCTAGTAATCACGCTGGGTGCCTTCTCCCATTGGTATTCAAACGTGTACCACTTTATAAACTGTTACCCCTCCTTAATGAACTTTTGGTGGGATTTGTTGTGGAAAGCGGTAGAACACCTATCAGAAATTCATTCCTTGGCTATAAAATGACCCGTCTCTAGGGGGAGGGGGGTCTTATAATGTTAGCCCCCAGTTAGGGGGGTATAACTACAAACGACCTATTTAGCCTAACCCCCTCCGTATTATAGACCTGGGGGTATTACGGTACCTCTGATTTTCTGCCCCTTCTGGGACAGTTGCATTGCAGTGTAAGAGGACCAAGAAACACAGCACATAATGTCGATATTGTTGTGTACAATTTCTCCTGACATGCTTGAGCCAGCACCTAGTGTGATTGTATTGAAGTGAAACCAAACTAATCCACAATCTGGACTTATAGAATCTTCCAGTGAAATCCTTCTAACAAGGCTCGTCCCTCCACTGGTGCATTTCCAGCTGAGCCCACAGACAGGTCCCTTCCAACCGAAATCCAACAAGCCCTCTTCAAGCTGAGACAGTGTATCTCTCTGGTGTCCTGCAGTGTGAACAGATGAAAGATTATGGGAGATTTGGATGCCGGGGGGTATATGCCACGAGAGAGGGCACCATTTTATGCTGTAGGCTGTGAGAAGGGCACTTTTCTTCCAACATCCGCCACCCCATGCATTCACCACCCACCCAGTCACTCGTTCACTCACTCACTCACTCACTCGTTCGCTCACTTGTATGTCTACATACGCAGAAAGTGCAGTGCACGAATTATATCATACCAACACATCCTCACAAATCACACACCGGCAAACTTGTTGCAAATCCCTATACAACACTTCCAAACATGCGGATATTGAAGCTACACTATTAGGAGTTTCAAACACAATTTCCTAAGGTGGTGACTATGTTGGGCCATAACATGCCACATCATGCCATCACATGCCATAACATGCCATAACATGCCATAACATGCCATATCATACCATCACAGGCCATAACATGCCACAACATGCCATAACATGCCATAACAGGCCATAACATACCATCACAGGCCATCATCTGGGTGGTAACCACCCTTTCTCTCCATGGCATCATAAGAGACGCCACAATGAGCCATAACATGCAATCACAGGCCATCATCTGCCATCAAGGGACATGCCATGCCATGACACACAATGCCATGCCATACCATACAATCATGCCACCATGCCATTGTATCATCTCACCTGCTGATAACAGATGCAGGCGCCACGTCATCACTGCTCACTTCCTCTTCAAATGAAAACACCAGATGCCGCCCCTTAACCTCCTCCCTCACCTCCTCCAACCCCTTAATACCGCTTGTGTCAAACCCTAAAATCACCTCCCGCAAATACTCCACCCTATCCACCATTCTACCCCCTTCCCTCTCCGTTACTGCCTCTCTTGTTACACCCTTCTCTCCCTCTCCACCCCCATCCACCCTTCTTTGAAAATCCCGTGTGATTCTTCTCCCCCCTCCTCTGCTTTCTTGCTCAAATTCTCCCAAAAGGCTAGCTCCCTGCCGGCTCTCTTCCAGCCCAGTCGTTCCATCAGCCTCACTAGCTGCTAACGCACGCCTGCCTACAGGCACCTGAGTCGACTCAAAAGTCAACCCCTCAGCTTCACTAGCTGCTGCAAGAACGTGCCTTCTCATAGGTAGCAGCTCCCCCGTCGTATCTGCACTGCCGCCTGAATCTGAAACCCTAAGAAAATCCTTCTCACGGCCTTCCAAACCACGATCTTCATGATCGCCACCGTTGATTCCTCTTCCCCTTCCCTTTTCCGCTTCTTGCTCCCCTTTCCTTCCCTCTTCCCCTCCCCTTCCCTCTCCCCTTCCCCCTTCCCTCCCCTCTCCCCTTTCCGCTTCCGTTTCCAGCCCCCCTCCCCCATCCCATCCGCTCTGCTCTTCCGCCAAAAGCCTCCGCTTCCCCGCCACCATCCCCGACCCCCCTTCCCCTTCTCCGCTCCCCTCCCTACGGCCACCACTGCCAATCCCCGCGCCATGAGTTTTAATCCCACTACCACGGTCAGTATCCCCATGCTCATCACTATGCCCAAGGCTATGATCAAGGCTATGGCTATGGCTATTAACATCATAATGCGTCCCGCGCCGCTTGACCCGTCGCGTCGTTCTCACTTCGATCGGCCAGTCCAATTCTCCGTCCATGTCCGTCCGCCGCCTTATCCTCTTTATAGACCGCACGTCTATAGGCACGTCTTGAATGTCGTCGTCTTCCGTCACGGGGTGCCATATCCGCGACCGATCCGAGTGCCCGTCCCCGGTACTAGCTTTCATCCGTCTCCGTTTAGTGTTATCCACTACGGCAACATCTTGACGAGCGTAATCTTCCAACTCATCCCCCCCGAGCGACAACCGGTCCCCCAAATCCCCGCCCACGGTTGCGCGCGCAGCATACCGCGACCCCCCCTCACCGCTGTTAACCCCGCCGTACTCCCTTCCACTCCTGCCGATCGTAATCTGGCTGTCGTATCCAGCTTCCTTAGCTGCTGCTGCTTTCGCCGCTGCCACTTCTTTCGCCTTCTGCTTGCCAGCCATGGATTCTTCCCACCAGTCGCCCTTCTGCGCTTGCGCGCGCTGGTCGGGGTTGGAAGCTTCCTTTTGCGCTTTCTGGATGTTCCAGCGGGCCGCTTGCCACGTCAGCGCCACCGCGATCCACATCAGCGCGACGAGAATGACCAATGCGCGGTCGATGACGGTTCGCGGGGCCCGCTGCGGACCGCGCATCATCATGCGGTTGTCCTTGATCCCCATTCTGATGGCGGACATTAAAAAGCGACGCGGAGATGTGGATAACTTCAATTCCTTGAGGGCGAGTCGGAAAGATGCCTACGAAGAAATGCGAAAAGAGGGTTACCACAATCACGATCTATTTACGACCAAAATCTGTTCGATTCAGCACGGTTTCGTGTCTTACGACCGGAGATCTACACGAGATACGGAACGCAAGCAAGTTGCTGATTGGCTGCTGCTCGCCCTTGGAAAACGACGCGATGCACCATCGGGATCGTCCGTATCTTTTAACATCCTCGATTACGACGGGCTACTTGGCTCGTACGCGCTATAGAGAATTACGCAGGCCGAAGCATAACAAAAAAAAAAACGTCTGGAAAGAGCCCGTTTCCTTCCAAGCGATTGCGAGCCCTAGAACGGAGAGTACGTCAAAACCAATCGATAATAAGATGCTACTTTTCGAGGATGCCGGCCGTCCCTGGAACGCCAGCAATAATTGGGCGGCAGACACCAACCGCTTCTAAACGTCAGCGACACCTGGCAATGACACGCGATTGATGCAAAGGAATACTGGTTTGGAAGTGAAATCGTGCCTCGGGAAATGGTAACTCTATGGTGACAGTGCCTCGAAAATGCTACTAGTGTGCCTTGGTTGGGTATTTTCTTGATGGGGGGAAGTGATGGAGAGGGAGGAGAGGGAGGGAGAGGGAGCGAGAGGGAAGGAGAGGCAGAGAGTTTGGTGGGACGAAAAAAATGGTTGGTTTGGGAAGGAAATGGTTGGGAAGGCTGGGTAGGAATTGGTTGGGAAGGAAATGGTTGGTGGCAGACACCTATTAGCGCGTATGAAGTGCAAAACGCAAGCTCGGGGATTGGAAAGGTTGGGGCCGATAATTTTGAAGTGTCAAAACCGAGTTCCCTCACAAATCAATATCGGGTGTGCTTTACCTTCCGACGCCGCTTTCGACGCCGCTGGTTTGGAATCTCGGACTGGCTTAAAGTTAATGTAATCTAGCGGCACGCCCGTAAAGCGCCTTGAATTCGTCACTGACATCATGGAACGATCTGGTAGGTCGTACGACGCACGCCATCGTGGCTCTTTGTGTCCATCGTCGGTCCGTACTTCCGTCCTTCCATCCTTCCCTCCATCCGTCGCCCGGATTCGTTCTTCGTTCCGTCGTGCGTTTCGTTGGAGTCGATGCGTGAGAGCAGCTGGGTAGTCCGAAACGGGAAGCGCCTATGTGATTTGATGAGCTTGCGCGTCGTTCTACCATCGTGACTGGATCTTTGCAAAGCTTTGTGCCTCGTTAACGAGCAATCGTACACTCACTACCCTTCCTTCTCTCCTCGATCGCAGCAGCGACGTCGAAGCAACGGCAATCTGCCAAGCAACAGAAGAATCCTCAATCTGCTGAACAACAAAGCCCTCCTGCGCCACTATTTTCCGGACCGAATCTTCAGAAGAACCTCGCCGCTGTGAACCTCAGGTGCGGTACCTCGAAAGCGCAATTCGGACGTTGTTATTCTTCGATATCTCTTTGAATTCTAACCCCGTTCTGACTTCGTCGTTCGTCATAGAAATAAGCATACCTCTTGTTCTCTCTCCCATCGCACCCTCCCCTCTCTCCCCCCCCCTCCCTCCTCCCGCTCCCTCTCTTCCCCAATTCCCCATTCCCCCTCACCACCCCCTGCCCCCCTCCCCTTCCCCCCTGTTCTCCCCATCTGACCCTCATTCAGTCGCACATACCTTGCGATTATAGCAGGTGTAGTGGCAGGCATATTAGGTCTGACAGGAATATCAGGTTTCCTTTGCTACATATTTGTCATGGCCCTTGGGGCTGTTGGCCTGTTTATCAAGACTGGGTTCCATATAAACAAGTACTTTGACACTTGGCAACGGATAGGTGGAATGGATGGCCTCACGCAAGGTGCCATGGTGAGTCCTATCATCGTTGCAAGCTGTCCATTTGACAATCGGGGCATGCTGTCTTCCAGTTTTGGTGAAATGGGATGCACTTGTCATTCACCACTTGGGTCTTCTCATCTTCCATCTACCAGTATCAAACTTCATACCTTCCCTCTCCACTGCCCTCCCATATTTATTTGAATGATCACTAATGTGTGAACGTTCACATATGGATGATAACATGGTTTCTGCAACCTGTCAGTCATTCGTTCTCTTCTGGACGTAAGTCTTCATTGCTCATTCGTTCCGCCGTGTTCTCCTGCGCTCAGTTACCCCCTTGCAAGTTTTTTGACTTCGCAATCTCACATGTTGCAGGCTTGCCTATGATTTCGTGCATCTTTTCTGAGTGCCAACATTATACCTTAAGATTCTTCAAAGGCTGTGCAGCTGGCTGGTTATGTCCTGTTGTTTGGTAACCATCAGTAAAGTATAGTTTGATCAAGCACAGCAGTGTCTATGTGGCGCTAAAGCAGAGGAAACAGGGTACAGTAGTACAGCTCTGCAATGCTCTCAGATTGATCAGGAATGCCTCAGCATGGTAACTTCCGGCAGGAGAACACTAGAACCGTAGCTTATGTGGGCACCAAAATGTCATCAATGACCTCTGAGCCATTGAAAACGAATAGGATGGCTGGAAGCAGCAGAAGACACACGACCAAGAAGCCAATCACATATAGCCTGTCAATAGTTTCTCGCTTGGTGGTACCATGTGGTGTGTGGAGTAGCTTGTTTACGGCCTTCACCAGAATCCTTAGCTTCTCTGCAGATTGATCGGCCAGTTGGAACTCACCACAAAGAGCATTATTAAGTTCAGCTGATTTATTAGGCTGGCATAATGTTGCCTCCTCAACTCTCTCAAGAAAGGAAAGCACATTCTCCTTGGTTGTAGGACCGCTGCTGGATTTGACTTCTGAACCTTCAACCACCTGAAAGGGAAAAACTGTTACATGTGCCATTCCACGTTCAGCGCTTTGAGCTGTGATGTCTCTCAAGCCTGCCTGAATGTCATTTGTTGGAGTAACTTCTTCTGGATGACTGATTCTTAATTGTGAATCTGCCAGCGAGTCTAATGCAGGAACAGCAAGATGCTCGTCCGTGGCTTTCACGACTTCTGGAATGCTGTCCTTAAGGATCCCTTTCTCGGAGGTGCTAACAGGTAGTGCTTCTTTCACCTGCGTCATTCACATTGCTCAGTTGACCGCAAAATGGTGACAGCGAAAGCGACGCGAAAGCAAGAACGGAACGATGAACAAACCTTGTCAGGGGTTGGGTTGTCCCTCTCGCTTCGAGCAGCTGCAAGAATCTTTGCAACATTCACACTTTTGGGAGCTGAAACCGTCTTGGAATTGGGCTGTTTGTTTGGCTTAGGCGGTGTCAATAAGAGCCTTCTACTCCTGTCAGGCTCAATGCCACTCCGCCGATTAGCTGGGAACAAGTCTGAGCTGACACCCATTGCAATCGAAGGTCCAGTAATCAACTGCGAAATTTGACAGGCCACCCGTTCTTGACGGGATGTCATGTATGTTGACATAAATAGACACTAGAGCCCGGGAGAGTGACGAGAATCTGGTCAGGGAAGACTGATGCACAGCCGAAATGATATATCTGCTCCTGCGTTTGAAAACACCTCCTTATCAAACATTAGCCAATTGCGTACAGTGAATTTCCATTCATACAATGTTTTGTTTATTCAGTTGTATCTGCGAGATACTTCACGCAAATAAAGAATTAGTAGGCATTTCGTACATAATGATTCACGCCAGTTTTCATAAAGTATAATTATGACCTCCAATTGCATTCTGCAAACTCGGATGTGATAAGATGGCTGATATGTCATGTTGTGGATCTTTACCCAGTGTTACGGGTGCAATGAATCGAGGTAGCGAGAATTGCACTAAGGTGTCAAACGAGTACAAAATGTGAGCGAAGGCATGAGCGAACATTTATACGCGAAACATGCAAAACGGTAACGCGGTGCGTGCGAGCTGGCTAGTGCTACGCTGGAGCGAGGCTCGGGCTAGTCCCGAAGCGTAGGCCGATGCGGCCATGCCAGCAGTGCGAGGTTTGGCAAAACAGTGCGCGCGAAGTCGGCGAAGTTCCGTTAGCAGTAACGGGCGAACAATCGGCTGTTGCTGTACGCGATGTAGTCGGCTCCGTAAGGAATGCCGAGAAAATTCCTTACACTACCCCCCCCCTCAAGAAGCCCCCTCCGCTACGCGAGTGCGTGTATATCGCGGAATCCCCGGCTCCTCAGGTACACTTGCAGGGCAGGGTGATTTTCGATGTTGCTCAGGGGCACCCAGCTATCTTCAGTTGGCGTGCGGTGTTTCCAGCGAACGAGGAATTCAATCCTCCTGATTCCCGTGGGGTGGCGGATCCGATGGCTCAGAATTTTTTCGGGCTCGATGATCGGCTCTGATGTAGGGCGAGTCATTGATTGTGGCCGGTGACGCGGCAGTTGACTTGTGGTCGGGATGTATGGGCGAAGTAGGCTGACGTGGAACGAAGGGCTGATGTACCACTCGGTTGGCAACAGTAGGTGCGCGGTGACGGGTGTGATCATATGACTGATTTGGAAAGGTCCACAGTAGCGCGGTCGTAATTTTGGTACGTCGGGCAGTCGCAGATTTTGCGTGTCGAGTAGCACGTAATCTCCAGATTGATACGTGACGGGGCGGCGGTGGCGATCAGCGTTGCGCTTAGCGATGACGTTGGCCTTTTTTATTGCTTCGGCGGCTCTGGCGCGGGCAGCTTGCAGGATTTCGGCGAATTGTTGTGCACGTGGCGTTGGGTTGTCCGGACTCGGCGTCATGGGCACTGTGGGGTTTTGCCCATAGTTCAGGTAGAACGGGGACTGCTGCGTCGTGGCTGATGTGGCGTTGTTGTACGCGAACTCGATCAGCGGCAACTGCTGCTCCCAGGTCGTGGGGTCGTCGCACGTGGCACGAATCAACTGCTCCATCGTCTGATTCGTCCGCTCCGTTTGGCCGTCGGTCTCGGGGTGGTACGACGAACTGAACTGTAGCCTGGTCCCGAACTGCTCCCAGAGGTTCTTCCA